CCATCATCCCAGCGCAGGTTACCACGCCCAGAGACTGTACACGTAGTCCGCCTAAAACCATACTTTACGCGGTGATGCGAATTTTCTTCTTGTGCCAGTGAACTCTTCATATGAACAGTGAATGCGGTTCATTTCTGATTGCCAGGCCCAGGACGCATTTTCTCTCGTGCACTAATTTGTTTAATGTTTCTTTATGTTACCTACTTCGACCCACTGCTGTGCACACTTTTGTTTGAGCATCGGGTCGATGCTCTCTTGGAAGGAGGAGTAATGCCACCTGGTGTTCTGTGCCAGTGAACAGTGGGTCCGTTCTGTGCCGGTGAACGAGGAAGACGAAGACGAGCAACCCGTGCCAGCGGAGACGTCCTTCTTTGTCTCTGAGATTTTGGACAGTCGCGTCCCTTTGTACGTTCGTTCGAGCTCTTAGCGCGTGACAATATATTCATATGATTTGGGTGAACTTTTCTACTAACACATTATACACATCAGGGGTGCTATGCAGGATGGCCCGAGATTCTCGGGCAGACGAGTTTGTTCCGAGCTCGCTCTGAAGTGGCTATGGTACGAAGACAGTGTGGAGCGCGTGATAGCAGCGTTGATAAATGACAGCATATCCACGGGGTGAATGATGAAGAGTGGGGCGAACCATCCGTTCGTCCATACGTTCTTGCTTCCGTCCGTCCATTGGTCCGTCTGTGTGACCGTCATTGCATCCATCCGCCCGTCCGTACATGCGTCTGTTCGTGCGTCCGCTCGTCCATCTGTGCGTCCGTCCATGCATCTGTCTGTGTGTTCTTTGGTTCATCCTGTCAACACTCGAAGTACTACCATCTCGCATCTTTTCATCATATATGCGCCCGTCTGTGTGACCGTCCATACGTCCACCCGCCCGTCCATGCGTGCGTCTGTTCGTGTGTCCACACGTTCATCCGTGCGTCCGTCCCTGCGTTCGTTCATGCATCTGCCCCTGCATCCATCCGTCCGTGCAGTCATCCGTGCGTCCGTCCAAGCATCTGCCTGTGTGTCCGTTTATTTATCCCGTCAACACTTCAAGTATCACCATCTCGCATTTTTTCATCATATATTGCTGCATGTAGAAGCACCGCCATTCAGCGGACATTCCAATGGACTAAACGACAGGTGGCACACGCACACTTTCTTACGGCTTGCGCTTCTTGTCTACTTCCCACCTTTAACCACCGCGAGTTCATGTTATATACTAGTTTACTGTATTCATGGCGCTGCGGTACAACGCTCGCAATGTTTTTTTTAAAACCAAGGAGGTTACGCCCAGCGAGTATAACCTAGCAACCTTTTCTTGTCAGATAATGCTCAACGTACATGCCAATGGCTGCTAACTGGGAATGAAAGACATGGAGAATTCGGCTTTTAGTTAACGCACACGCTGCCATTTTTTATTCCTCAACAACGCACAGGAGAAATCTTCCACCGGCACTACCCTACAGGTCAAAGCGTAAGACTGGTTACGCACTATGGCTATGACAAGAGACTAATGGGTGACGCTTTAAGGAGCTTCGCCCCAAAAATGGCTACAGGAACGCGTGTGGCGTTGTAAGCGCATGTGGGACACTTGCGGTGGTAATCAAAGAAACACCGCGTGTGAATACGCAAGTGCCGCCACTGCGTCAAAATTTTAATCAGTGCAGCGACATAAGCGTGATTGTAGCGCTATCTTTTCGCCAACTTAACACGCGCCTCCCACAGGCGTGTTCGTTGGCGTATGTCTTCTTTCGGACAAGTTATTTCGTTCCACCTGAAGCATGGAAATTTCTGCTCTCGATGGCAGCAAAGGTGCATACACAGCACTCTCGTGCTAGTTGTTTCGCTTCATTCAAATATTGCACATAAATATAAGGACAGGTGGTCACCGGAGGTGCTCGCATCATGGCGTCAACACAGTTGTGATTGGATACGTTCGTGAATGCGGCTGAAATTGTATGCCAAATATTGTAGCCGCGTGGTGATATCACTTTCACTTGTGCCTGCTGTGTGTGCATAGTCTGAGCGATAAAGCTGATAGATTAATCGTGCTGCTCGACGTGAGTACAGCTTATCGGTAAGAAAAAATGTGGCGGTTGCACCGAATCTTCACTGCTGGCATCTGTCGATCGAACTGATTGACGCGTGAACTCGAATATAAACTCGTTGATTTTAAAAAGACCCGACTTCAACCTGTCAATGTGATGGCACCGGTCTTACTGTCGAGTGTTTGATGGGGTGAACGCTATGCGGCAGCTTCTTTGCATATAAAATAGTTTGGTGAGCTTACACTACTTTGTCAAGGCTGGAGCAACAGAAGAGCTTTTGAGAACCTAGCTTCCCGCAGCTTCTTAAGTTGGTCGTCTATTCATGTGTGTGGTCGGCTTCAAAGTAAAGACCACATCAGCTTCTGTCCTAACTTTATTATACTAATTGGCTGAGGTTTAATGACCATTACACTGAGCTGTATTCTCCTGATAAATAGGGATTCTATTAAAAGACAATTTTATAAGGCGCATTCAGCTAGGCCATGCGAAGTATGGAGATATTAAACGTAATCCTGATTAGCAAGTTACTAAAGGTTATCATATTAGTAAGGGTAATTAGCATGTGTTACTTAGCTTGCTCATAACTAAAGTGGCGTTAAATAGCATGGTATAGTTGGCACATCAATCAGCATGCTTTAGTTAGCCCAGTTCTAGCTTTACAATGCTTCATTAGCCCTGTTTCTTAATGTAGCGCAGTTGCCTCGTTCTTACCATGAATTGGCGTGATTAGCTTGGTCATATCATGTCCTGGCCTAACAATTATACCGTCCAGCAAAAAAAAAAACACAGCATATCTATGGCGTGAATAATGATGAGTGTAGTGAAACCTCAGAGTGTTTTATTGGTAAAACATGAATCGTCTGTCTGTCTGTCTGTCTGTCTGTCTGTCTGTCTGTCTGTCTGCCTTGCTCTCTGTCTGTCTGTCTGTCTGTCTGTCTGTCTGTCTGTCTGTCTGTCTGTCTGTCTGTCTGTCTGTCTGTCTGTCTGTCTGTCCGTCCCTCTGTCTGTATGTCTGTCCATCTAGCCATCCGTCCGTCTGTCCATCCACATCTACTGCATAAGTCTGAGAACAAGGCGGTAACGTATCACGAGCTAGGAGGGACAGACCCACGGCTTTAGGAGCTTCGCCCCTAATACGTAACTAGCCAGCCGCACGTTCTCGGGTGCTAGCGGGCCATGACAACAAAATGACTCGCACCAGCTGAGCAGCGCGCTAGAATGTACAGGCTGAGGATGATGATTAACACATGGCCTTGGGTTTAGCTGCGGTCACAATGCTGTAAGACGCTCGAACCGTACTGATGTCCGAAGTCAACGTGCTGTATATTTTAAAACAGACTTAGTGCAGGTAATAAAACCTTCAAAAATGTAAACACACCATGCGTCTAGAAAAAATGTCACCACAATGTGTTTCTGACACTATTATTTTGTGGGTGCAACTCTGAACTCAGTGGAACGACAAATAAATGAAAGATGCCTCTGGTTTGTAAGCACCGCCGAACTTAGCCGACCGTCCTTGACCCCCTCTGCGGTGGTCTAGTAGCTAAGGTTCTCGGCTGCTGACCCACAGGTCAGCAGCCGAGTACCACTTTGCAGGTCACGGGATTGAATCCTGGTTGAGGTGGCTGCATTTTCGATGGAGACGAAAATGCTGTAGGCTCGTGTGCCCAGGTTTGGATGCACGTTAAAGAACCCCAGGTGGTCGAAATTTCCGGAGTCCTTCCACTACGACGTCCCTGATAATCATATGGTAGTTTTAGGACGTTACACCTAACATATCAATCAATCAAATCAATCAATCGTCTTTGACGCGATGAGTGCTTCCATCGTAACCAATGAAACGTGGCGCGCTGACGGGTGGATTTCACTTTTTTGCACTAGTTGGCTCGTTTATAAGGGAGTGTCGCCAGAAGTCGCGAAGTTCCTGAGTTTCAAAAAACTCGACCGATCCTGCATAGCGCCCCAACGTAATTGTTACAAGCGTAAAGCTAGGACTGGTTTTCCCTGGCAGATTTCGATGTTTCGATGTAATATAAGTCGACAAAATTAGTGGCATTGATGTATTCTACAGCCTTTGTGAAGGTTAAGCCAGACATTTTGCGTGAGATTACCGCAACAGAAACAACAACGCAGGGAGGCTAAAATAATAAAAGATGTATATACTTCTATCATAAAGGCTACGAACGAGAAACGATAGCTTACTGTCCGGTGACGTTTTTTTTTTTTTGGTCCTATTCAAAACTATTTCGAATGCTTGCTGTCATTAGGTTTTTGAAGCAGCCAAAAAACAGCACACCGAGGCAAATGTACACTGATCATTGCTTTAAACTGAAAGTGACAAAGGGGCATAAAATGTTTCTACGTAATTACATATTCATATAAAGATCATAATCGGAACAAGCACTACGTGTAAATATTTGTTTCGAGAGGTCCAAGGCTTGTAGGTGTGGCTCACCATGTAAAAAAAACGATAACAACTTAATATTCATTTTAAGGTGTTCCAGAGAATAAACACTAATGAAAATTACACATTTCAGTTTCTACGTACACATCAAACAGTATTTCGGTTCGCGTATAAAAAGAAATCTCCGGATTCCGTCATGCACGCAATACCTACGAGATGTACAGAAATTACGTGGTGTAATAAAGGTAGTCTTGTTTCCAGCTCATGTGCAGTTGGCGGACTGTTTATTTGGATGTCCATTGTTACAAAAACACATTTCTCAAGTCGACGTAGCCAAGATGGATGTTCTAGTAATTTAAGTTTTAACTGAGAAAGACCTTTTGACATCATTATGAGAGTTGTCTCGGCCGTGCTTCCCTTGTTTTGATACGGTGTAAGAGGGGGACTTCCCCGACTGAGCGCTTCAATTAGGAGAGCGGGAACGTGAAGGACGCGTCGGCACGTGGCCGAGAAAAGCTGTATATAAGCGGGCGTCGTACACCGTCAGAAACCACACAACAACCTTTGCAGCCAGCGCACAAAGAACTTCAGGTGAGTCCATTGAACATTGCGCTATAAAAGCCTATGACGCCATTTCTCTTCAAAAATATCCATAGATACGCATTACTTGTCTTGCTCTTGATGCTTTGCTTATTTTGTCTTTCGTTTTTAACTCGCTTAAGAAAGGAAAACAATTCAGAAATAAGGGCAACGTTGAAAACTAGCAGTTGGAGAAGAAGTTGTCTTGCTTTACAAAGTCTGAAAAGGTTAAAACGTTCAATTTCTTAAAAATTACTGTTTTCTGAACATTTTCTATTGAACTGACTGTGTGCTCGATAGCTATATAGGGCTGAAAATCGCTCTTTTATTTTTCGTTCCCATCTCAAAGATTATATGCGAACACATACGAAACTTGGGATTTGGTGCAACTGAGCTCACTGAAAGTGCATGCAGATCTTCGCTGTAGAATCGTGTGGTTATGCTGCAAATTTAAAACTGGCAAGACCTTCGGCCTAAAAAAGACATACCATTCCCTGGGCACATTAGCGATTTTTTTTTTCAAACATGTAATTTCGTACCATGCAGTCACCAAAGAACTGCGTATTTTTAATAAAACAGCATGAAAAAGCAATTTATGAAGAAAGCAATTGTGAACTACAATCGATCGTCTTACACTGCCTAATTAAACTCCATTAAGTTTTTATTGCGTTATCCTAAGACGCCTGAAACCTTAAGTTTGGAATTCGATTTATGTTTCTGAACGCACCACGCTGGTCTAGTTGTCAATCTTCTTCATTGCTGACGCGAACACCGTGGGACCAAATCCCGGCCGTGACTGACGGATTTTCGATTGAAGCCGGAAGGCTTCTGCCCCCCGCGTACACAGACTCAAGACCCGGTTATAAAACACCATATGTCGCAGAAATTTCCGAAGTTTTCTATTGTGGTTTCCCCCTAACCATATCACACTTTATGAATATTCAATCCCATCAGTAATGACTTGTGGCTTCACATTACTCGCGGTATGAGAAAATAGGTATACATGAGTCAGTAATTTGTCTCGTGCATATTCTGTTATCTTTTAACATCCGCTAATTAGAACGGTATGCTGCGTTTATTTAAAATAATGTGACTTCTATGAACTTTCAAAAACGCAATTTTTAAGCAATTTTAAATTGAAGCTTTGGGTCAGAGCAGTTGAGGAAGGTAATTATATTTCTAGTTTACGGTACAGCTGACTACACTCATGCTCCTTCTTTTGCAGCTCTGTAAAGAACATTTCCTAACTGCAATAGTTTTTTGAACTACCTGTGACAGTCGAGCACAACTTTATTGAAATGAACTTGCTGAAGGTTGCATTTTATACCTATAAACTTACGTAAGGTTGCATTTGATACCTAATGTTTGCGATGTTCATCTCGCAGCCAATTGCAAATATGATTGCCGTCAGCAGCAAGTCCTTCCTTCTCGCCCTCCTGGTGTTGGCGGTCGTCTGCAGCCTGGCAGCCGCCCAGTTCGGTTTCGGACGTGGAGGATACGGAAGGGGCTATGGGGGCTACGGAGGAGGCTTCGGCCGCGGATACGGAGGAGGCTATGGCCGCGGCTACGGTGGATACGGCCGTGGATTCGGAGGCTACGGACGTGGATTCTACGGCTGAGCAGATGATTCGATTATACGGATGACTACTGAACAAGCCTACCCGGAAGAACAATAACGGCGTTGATGGGACTCAAAACGCAACCTAGAAGAATAAATTATTTATTTATGATTAGAGATGTGCCTTGCAAAGCTTCTTGTACTGGTATTTTTAGTGATGCCAACAAAGCAATCAGCTCGTTTACGACACCGAAAATTGTCTTCCTTCACAATACTCCATATAGAGTCACATATTGCATACATGGGCACAAGAAATTTCTGTAAAGGATACGGAGTGCCCCGCCACGTTGGCCTAATGGTTATGGCACCCCCTGCTAATCCGAAGGTCACAGGTTAGAATCCCGGCGGCGGGCCTCAAACATTTTCGCTGGAGGCGGAAATTGTTTGAGGTCCGTGTACTCATATTAGGCTGCGCGTTAAAACCACCGGTGGTCGAAATTTCTTGAACCTTCCACTGCAGCGTCCTCCACAATCATATTGTGGTTTGTGGACGTTCATTTCCAGGTATAACGTTTTATGGTATTGAATGTTACGGAGTGCAATAAATTCGCCTGATTCATTTTAAAAACACAAGTTTTTAAAAAATATTTATTTGACTTGAATATTCTAGAACGATTCACTGATATAATGAATAAGAAGAATTTCTGAGCAACTTAAAGGTACTTGGAGCGTTTTCATCTCTCTATCTATCACAAAGGATTTCGGCAGGTACCACTTGAAGAGGAATATAGCAAACACACGGCCTTTTCAACTCCCAATTGATGTATATGTGCACAATCACTTACCTTTAGGGTGCAAGAAGAGCGCTGCCTGTTTTCAAAAGATGATGAATGGTGTCTTAAAGCCCTTTCTTGGAGCATTTTGTAGTGTCTGCGCTGACTATGTTTTCGTCTATTCAAACGATGAAACTTCTCTCGCTGAGTGTCGAAGTGAGCGAAGACAAAATGAAAGTAAATATTAAATAGAATGTGTTCTTGAAGGTAGAATTTACACTTCTTAGACGCGTCCTGGATGGATTTTTTTTAGAAGCACTAAGAAAGAAGCTGTGGAGAATAGCGAAAAGCGAAAACAAACAGTGTTTATTTAGATGCGAGTGTTAAAAGTTGACTAAAGAGCAAAATGATTTTTCGCATATTAGCAAAGTGCAACTTTACGATTTCGAAAACACCGCTCGCTAAACTGCTGCTTTAAAAAAGAGGGGGCCGAAAATAATATCGTAAATATAAGACAAACATCATTGACATAAAATGTAGCCGAAAGTATTGAAAGGGTATTTCATCGTCGTATAATAACATTTGTTAATGAACAACAGCTGCTGAGCCCCTGCCAAATTGGCTGTAGATCTGCACATTCAATCTTGAATTCGCGCGTAGACCGCGAAATTTGAGTTCACATTGCCCGGCATGAAAAACAGTATGCGGCTTCAGTTACCTTAGATATCTGTAAAGCGTACGATAGTGTCGAACATTCTGTGTTATTAAATTGTTTATGATGCCATGAGCTTGCCTCTCATATCGTTGCATGGGCGACGGAATTTTGAGAACAAAGCAAATTTTACTGCCTTAAATATGGCTTTTTTTCTTGCAAGCACAAGCAGACGTGAGGCGTGCCCAAGGGATCAGCACTTTCACCAGCATTGATTTAACATCTTCATGTGCATTATTCTTATTCGATCAGGGGTGCAGGCTTATATTTCTGCGGACGACTTTGCAATTTTTTTTATATGAATGCTGACATATATTGCCTTTACAATACTTTACAGTTGTACTTGAGGGAACTCGAGAAGTAGCTAGATGAACTGCAGTGAAGTCTTATTACCAATAAGTGTGCTATTCTGGTTTTTCCTGTTAACGATCCAGTGAGAATATCTTGATTTACAAGCTGCAGGATATCCCGTTAGTAGAATAATTAAATGCCTTGGAGTTAAAAATAATGAAAATCTAAACTCGTAAACTAATATTGAATATATCACAACAAAAGTAGCACGGGTAATGGGTGTATTGCGCAGGTTGAGCAGCCGCAGATCAGGTATCAGAAGAAAAGCACATTTTCTGGTAGACAAAATGTACGTATGACTGGTATTAGAATTCGTCTGTGTTCTTTTTTTTTTTTCGTGCGCCAGCATACAAGCTTCGGCCGCTAGTTCTATTAGAGCGAGCTGCTTTACTGCTGTGCTTATAGGCCTTCCAAAATATGTGGCAAATGCAGTAGTATTTCTGGAAGCGAAACAACCACCCCATTTAAGCCGATTCAACCTACTTACCAAGCAGACTTTTTTTACTGTTGTACGAAACACTGTCTAATCATACTCAAATAATTTTCATCTCCAATCCCGCTATATTTTTCTGAGCACTGCCCTAGATTTTGCAAGCCACAAACCATATTTGTACAAACATTACTCGATCCCCTAAATGTACAAACTCGTGATGTGCGTCCTTTGACCATGCAACCTAAATTCACAGACATTGTCTACCGCGATAGTTTTCCTCACCGCGCGATATTATTACCTCACGGAGTTCTGAATGGTCTGTTTCAATATTATCTGAATAATCCGCCAGTGAATGAGGTTATTGCAACATATGCATAGCAAACTGAAGAAAAAGCTGGCGTAGGAATATTCTGCCCTCAACTTGAGCGGTATTTTTCTTTATGACTGTCGGATTTTATCCCAGTTTTTGTAGCTGAATTTATGGCCATAATATTAGCTCTCGAAAGATACCCAGAATAAATGCAGTAGTAGCAATCATAACTGACTCAATATCTTTGGGTTCGTCTCTCTCTGCACTTCGTGAAGTGCCTATCCTAAAGCTCTTACGAATACTAGTTCCCGCACACATTCAATGTCTCCACCTAATTTGGGTACCAGAATACAAGGGTTTGTTTTTAAATGAAAGCACCGATTCTTTAGCAAAGGCGGTGCTTTTAGTGCCAATAATTCTGGTTTTCCCAGTGAAAGCAAACATTATAATAGCGCGATTCCGCACGCTAAATTTCAAAAATGCTGGTCAGACCCTGTCTCGACAGTTTCTCCAGAATATAAGCACCTATTATTTTCGTGAAACAGTGAGTTATCGTGGTCAAGAATAATATGGCTTGTATCCAAACTTCGCTACCGGGTTACATCTCTCAACTTTTACCTGTATAGAGCAATTCGAGCACTGTCTCCGCGGTGTCTCTTCTGTAAGGAGGAGGAAACAATCAGGCATTGCTTTCTATACTGTCGCCGGTACACGTCATTGAGGAGAAGATTCATAACACCACCTCTTCGAAACTGGGGTACGGAAATATCCTAATCAGTTGTTCTATCATTCGACGCCTGTACTCTAGGCTACAGTCGCTGGGATGTTTACTTCGACATAGACGAACTGATGAGCCAAACCAAAAAAATGTTGAGTAAACCTCTTCATCCTTCTAAATATTTATTTATTGATATTCAGTAATTATTTAGTTGTATTACTTATGCCTCGCTTATACGAGAAGTATTGCGAGGAAACACTTAAAATATTCATCTAACATACGGCCGATCCCCTGCATTGGTTAAGAACCATGAGAAGAGAAGGGGAAGAAGAAGAGCCATGACACGACGCTTGGTGGCCAAAAAAAAAAACACGCGAAAAAAATTAGGGCGAAGACATCACCATGAGATTCTGCCACTAAACACCATAATTTCATACATTTTGAAAGCATCTACTACGCTATACGTGGCTTTTCCTCCATAAAACTTGAGTACATTGTCGTCTGCGAGTGCTATATAGCTAGAATATGAAGTTTTAGAAAATATAATCGTGTACGTGTAGACTCACTTACGTTTCGAATGCAATGTCGCAAAAATACAAAAAATACGTTTCGAAATTTTGACGTCACGTGCAGAAATTCGGCACAAAATTTTAAATTGAAACTTCAAGCTTGATTATATCCGGTAATAATTAAGTTATGATAGTGAAACATGTGGCACTAGAGCTCTGTGAGTGTAGTTCGTCAATATAAAGAAAGTCAGTGTTTCTCCTTAGTGCCCCTTTAAAAAAGCCTACATGGCAGCGTTGAACAGACTAATGCGGAAAATAAAAATTAGTATCTGAGGAGGAAACAAATGCTAGCATTCTGGAAACCAAATATTGCTGAAATACTATTGCCGGAAGGAGGAGGAAGAAAGTTAAAGCGGAAAGACAGGGAGGTTAGCCAGTTCTTAGACCGACTGGCTACCATGTGCTGGGGAAAGGGTTGAGGGGAATAAACGATGTTAAAAAGAAGTGTTGCGAAGAGAGAGAGAAATTACAAAAAAAAATTCGACAGAGGAAAAGCAACATAAAAGAGAATAAGACACTAAAGTCTGTCTCTGAGGCCAGCTGTCCGCGAAAAGCGCAGCAAAGCTTTCAAAGCCTTCTGTGTTGGGGATGGGCTTGGCCAATGACCGAGAATACATCGTTCCGACAAAGGCCGATCATCCAGTCTACCCAGAGCTGCAGTGAGTTCTTGACTTTGCGCGTTGAAATGGGTGTTCTCACACAGAAGGTGCGCGATGGTTTCTTCGCAGCTGCAGTAGGTGCATGTAGAAGAGCTGGCCACTCCAATGAGATACGATTATGCGTTCGTGAAGGCCCCTCCAAGCCACAGGTGGCATAGAAGAGTCTCCTCAGCTCGAGGTAGAGTTGTTCAGAGCCCACTGCACCACAACTATCCCATTTGTGAATGAAGGAACAGCTAACGATGCGCCCTTAAGGCACCGCGTGAAGCTGCGCGCAATTGTTCACTTTTTTATGGTTTGGCACCTGCTGATGATGAAATATGTCTGCAATGCTTTGTAAAGTGGGGGCCTTTAAAACACCCACTCGTCACTCAATTTACATCGTACGAGACCTGGCGCTATTTTACTCTTCTGCCTCGCATTATAGCATGCGTTAACTAGACTCCGTTCAATACATGACATTATTATAGTGTTCTTTTTAGGCGCTTTCAACAAATCTTGGGGCGCTGTGGTAGAACCCCTACTTGCCTTGGAGACCACCTGGGCTAGATTGTTGTTCAGGACTGGAAACTTTTATTCCTAGTTTTATTTGTGTATATTTAGGGAATCTTGGTTGCGGACAAGATGATTTTTCGCTCAGAACCAACGACGTCCACGCCAACGCTGACATCGGAATTTCGAAGAAACGAGCTTTTAAACGGCATCGCGTTAAAACGTTGTTCTACGCTGTCATTGACAATGTATTCTTGAAACTGTGCCAACTTGTGTACATCTGTACAGCCCAACTTGCTGTAGAAGCACAAATTGCCAATCTGCAACCTTTGCAAAAAGTAGACAAGAAAATTTTTCCTTTGAGAGCAGTTACTAGTGCGACTCAGAAACATCGAGAGTACTAAGCGCGTTCTGCCGCCCTGTATTAATTCTTACAGCTGGCTTAGATCTTTAAGATATAGCCGCCTGGCAGTGGCACGAACAGCTGTTCAAGCATTGATTCAATAATAAATAGTCAGCAGATTCCGAATACCTTGGAAATCGATATTATGCGATGCATGTGGAGAGAAAATGAATGTAACCTTTTTTTTTGCGCGAAACGCAGCGAATTGAAGCTATATATATGTACAAAAGTTGTACGCACAGACATACGGTAAACAGTCGCATGTTTGTTGTTGCGTAACAATCTCAACGGCAAAATGGGTATGATAAACACCAGAAGCGGTAAGCTGATATGTAGCGCTTATGCCGGTGATGACGGCAGCCCTGAACACTTTAGATAAATGAGGTTCAGTGGATGGCGCTTCACTACAGCTGTCGTTAACTCGAGGTAACGGCTGGATGACAGGAGCACGTATGTGTTGTTGATAAGATTGAATAGCCCAGCAGTACAACCACAAATTATGTTTCACGAACATCGCTTTCCACTTTAAAAGCAGTTCCAAGACCTAGCGTGGCTCTGTGGTAGAATACTTGGTTGCCACGCAGAATGCTGGTGTTCGATTGCTACTGGGATTGTAATATTAATTATCTGCGTTCATTGGGTCAACGCTGCAGATCCCACTTTTTGGGCTCATAGCTTCTTAGAGCCGACTTAGCTGGCGTCCATCACGCACCACAAAACCCAAACGCAGACTGCACACCTGCACAACAAGAATCGAAAACGTGTGACTGGACAAGAGACCTCGTATGTAGTCAACAATGTATACGACAGCTCAATAGATGACCACTCACACCGTCCATCTGTTCGTCCGTGCGTGCGTACACTTGTCCGTGCGTCCTTCATACTAGTCGGTGACTTCAACGTAGACCTTATGGACGCTAGTACCCATCCCTCCGCCCACTCGTTGTCAATAATTTCATGAAAACGCACTGTTTTTCCTGATCACTCTCAAATTCAAAATTAAACTGTCAATGACCTTCAGTGCATTGCGCTTAATAGCCAGATGGTACGGCTGTATCTTAGTAGTACACATGTTACTTAAAAACTGGATAGCCATCATTGCACCCCAACGAACACCGCATGGACCTTATGGTCTATTTGAAAAGCAGTTGCGAGACCAAGCGTGGCTGTGTGGTAGAGTACATGGTGGCCATGCAGAATTGTAAGGCTCAATTCCTGGTGGGACCCTGGCGTTTTTTTTTTTTTTTGCGTACCTCGGGCCTATGTTGCTGATGTCATTTCCTTTTCAACACTTACGCGTTAAAGTTAACCATGTGTGTTTGCGCCGTTCCGGGCTAGATATAAAGTGTCAATCACCTGGGGTACATATCCGCATACCATTGGCACGTATCTATCGGCACTTTTGTGCCACTAGTGCCAATGAAAAGACAGACAGACAGACAGACAGACAGACAGACAGACAGCCAGGCAGGCAAGCAGGCAGATGGATAGAGAGATAGATAGATAGATAGATAGATAGATAGATAGATAGATAGATAGATAGATAGATAGATAGATAGATAGATAGACAGACAGATAGATAGATAGATAGATAGATAGATAGATAGATAGATAGATAGATAGATAGATAGATAGATAGATAGATAGATAGATAGATAGATAGATAGATAGATAGATAGATAGATAGATAGATAGATAGATAGATATCAAATGCGCTTGGAGTATGCAAAGAAATATTTAGAACAGAGCACAATGAAGTGAATCGGTGAGGGCGATGGAACTGAAACCTGTAAATAGCTACGTCGACAGCGCAACTGTGACTACGGGTGCGAATCAGGCATCGCTAGAACTCTGCGCTTGGAGAGCAGCCACGCACTTCCGACAAAATGGTCTGATGTATGAAGTCAATATGTTACTTCGTTGCTATATGCTAAAACGTCTGCCAGAAAGAAACCAAGAATGTCAAAGTGTTAGTTTCGATGCATTGCTTAGGATGGGAATTCAGAGCTTTATAAAAAAAATCACAACATATCCATGGAGTAAATGATAATGAGTGGGACGAAGTGCTAGAGAGTTTCATCACTAAATTGTGAACCATCACCGAATATCGCCCATTGCATCATCAAAGACGTGACAAACACTTTATATTGATAGAAAAAAATTATTATTTGTAAGTGGTAGCTATATGTCGCTTCCGTTCCCCCTTCGATAAACAGCTCTATGGTACGGGAAGTTGTGAATCGGTGATTGGGCATAGCGGGCAGTTTGCAAAGGTGCACCTATAGGCGCTCACGTACAAACAAGAGATAGACACAGTGGGGTAATCTATGGTTCTTTAACACGCATCTGGATACAAGTACACAACTATCTTGCATTTCGTATTAGCAGCTTCTCAACAGTATTTGTTTTATGGTAGGAGAAGTGGTGAATAGGTGATGGGGCGAAGTGAGATGTTTGCATGGACGAAGTAGTGGGCAGTTGGCAAAGCTGGAACTATAGGCGGTCACGTACATATATATAAGAGATGGACAGACCCACACTATTAAGAGCTTCACCCTAATTATTCAGAAGATTAGAAAATAATCATGATTCTCGCAGGCAACACATAGACAAATTTACATATAAAAGTAATATGGAAAATGCTACTAAAAGATAGTCGACGAAAGAATTGAAATGTACGCACGTGTTGACTGAATTCAATAATGTTAAAAAAGGGAGAGTGTAAACATTACCCTTTAAAGCTGGTGCACACCGACGACTAGCAGCGGTCACGCGACCATTTGTGACTGGCCGCAAACAGTCGCGAACGGTCGCAAACGGTCGCAAAGCGACTGCTTTGGCTAGTCGCTTCCTGACCAGTTTTTCAGTCGCGCGACTGCAGTCGCAAAGCGGCTGGAACCAATCAGCGATGCTCAATTTTTGTTCTGTTGTTTTTTCATTGCGCTGGCTTCCTGCCGCCAGGTACAAACGAGTGCGTTCCTCTGTGTCTGTGGCACCGTGGCCACCGCGGAATACATGGCTTAGAGATGGCGGGGCGGAGAAGCTCAAGCAAAGCGTCGAATTTACGTGGCGGTATTCGTAAGAAGGTAAACACCGTCAAAGTAAAGAGAAATTAAATTGTGCACTATCTTTTCCCTAAATTCAGAACTATTCTATTGTCTTGAACTTGATTTGTCACCGCCTTCAATGCAGCGCGTTTGTAACGCGTTTGTAGTTAATGACTTGGCAACGACTTAAGACACCACGTTTGAGACGCGTTGTGCGAGACGCGTTAGACTGTGGCAAGTCCATTTAAATTCAAGGACCGTTTCTGAAAACGTACGACTCTCGAAAATACTCCTCGTCGTCTCAGTGCAGCTCGGGAGGGAGGCGGCTTGCAAGGCTGGCCAACTCCCGCGATCGAAAGGATGGTCACACCCACTACCGTTTTTTTTTTGGATGCATCAGGGATACCAGCGCTGACATAATGGCACAGCGCATCAGCACCATGACATTGTCTTGTTCTTCGCTTGAATTGAATTTGATGCTGCTGAGAACGCTGTGCGAGAACGGACGAAAACAATAGATGCGGCACTCCCGGTTTGCTCCGCTCTCTCAGCTCAGTCAGCTGGCGGTGATCAGTTGATCGGCGCCGGTCTCCAGAGTTCTCGCTGATAACGAGATCCGGATGTGACTCTCAGCTTTTGCGACTTCCGGTCGTTCGCATGCAGCCCGTGCCGGTGTGAACATCAGTGACTTTTTGGTCGCCAGTCGCAAATGGTCGCGCGACCACTCCTAGTCGCCGGTGTGCACCAGCCTTTAGTAAATCAGCACTCAGCTCGTTTTTTAAACAAATAATGCTGAAGTAATACAATAAGAATGTGGTGTTATCACTCCTTTGTGTAAAGTAGTAGTGGGGTAGTAAAACCCTTCTATCATTTTTCTTACTACACGTTGCGTCGAATAGTATTGCGAGTACTCAGCGTTCATCTGAAATTGTTCTCGGAAAGAATTATTTTCATGAAAACAAAGTATGACACCTATTTCTGCAGATAGCATTTTACAGTTAGAATAATGCGCCCAGAGCCGATGAATGTGGTCTACGTCGTGCAGGAAGCAGCGAAGAGACGTTTAGAAATTGCTTCTGTTCCTGAAATATTGTTTATTTTCGAATATTTCTTGATCGTTGGACTGGATTTCAGGAGATACAACATTTCCGGGAAGGAGAGGCCCCAGTTCTCGAATAATCATTGCAAGGACGGACACACGCAGCATTTTAGTAAATACTTCGAAAGAACTTTCCCCATCGATACGAGAATCGCCTTGACACTGGCAGGCCATTTCATGTGTCTCGGTGCTGAGCAAGAGGGGGCTTTCCCGACGTACCGCCTCAATTAAAGAGCGTAAACGTGAAGGACGTGTCTGCACGTGACTGGGAAGAGTGGTATATAAACAGGAGTCGTTCACCACCCGATATCGCACAACTTCGTAGCCAGCACGGAAAGAAATCTTCGGTGAGTACATTGAAAATGTCACTTCATTCAACCTAAAACGTTGGAAACTTTCGCTACAGCAAAATATTTCATGTTGCCAACTTGCATTTGTAAGAACACTATTTTTCGTGGCTCAGTTTCATAGCAGTGTGGATTGAGAGACTGAATATCCTAACGTCGAATACCAACGATTAGAGTACAATGCCGTTTGCCCGTAGAGAACAGTAAGTGACTATGTGCGGATAATACTGGTATAGCTGATGAAAACTTCAGTTTGCAGCACGTTCTTGATTGGTATTATCCGTATACGCTATTGTACTTTCTCGAATCGTGCACAGAACGACAAGCGCACGCAGCAAGACAGGCGAGTTGATGTGTGTCGTGCCATAAAACTTGCGTGCTGCTCTTATAGAAGTCTCTGAAGTACATTACGCTAGTTACGCTAGATTAAATGAATATGTTGATGCTCGACACTTTTACTTAGGTTTTAAATTATGTTTCCCATCTGTGTCGAGGGATTAATAGCTTCATTCGTTTCTCCATGAACTCTCACATAGCGCAATGGCTCCAAATTAGTTTTTTTTTCTCTTTCGCAGCCTAGGTATATTAAAAGAATTACGGATGCTGAGCATTGAAGAACTTATCATTGCTACACAAATTCCATCATGCCATCTTTTCAGTGATCTTAAGAATAGCATCCGTATAGTTGACGTTTCAAAAGCTTTCAATAAGCATAACACTATCGACCAAAATAATGTAGCTTTTTTGCTCCTTTCTCGACGACTTTTAGTGCGAGTGCGACCCTGTCGTCATACTAGTTGATTTATGAAAAATTACCTTTTCTGTGGTGACGCAGTCTTTTACATTTTTGACGATGTCTTTTTTACCTCACAGCTAATCACAACCATGATTGCTGTGAGCAGCAAGTCCTTCCTCCTCGCCCTGTTTGTGCTCGCTGTCGTCTGCAGCATAGCCGCTGCCCAGTTCGGCTTCGGACGAGGAGGATACGGAAGGGGCTATGGCGGCTACGGAGGAGGCTTCGGCCGTGGATACGGAGGAGGCTATGGCCGCGGATACGGCGGATACGGCCGCGGATTTGGAGGCTATGGACGTGGATTCTACGGCTGAGCGCTAACTTCATTTGCACGAATAACAATCGACTACTACCACGAACAACGAAGATGAATTTACTATATTCAACGCACGGCACGAAAAAATAAATTGTTTATTGCTGACAAGCAAGTTGTCTTGTGAAACTTTTAACACAGAAGCAAAAGTGCTCGAAGCGATCATCTGATGTTTCTGTGAATAGATATAGGCATTATCACTCTAATTTTATTGTTATCGTCGGCAGGTACTTTGCGCAAACTATTAGCCCGTCTGTCCAATATGCGTAGAGAGCCCGCCAAAGTGCCCCCCCCCCCCGCGCTTTGTGCTGAAAATTGGTTCAAGAGCTTCAAGGGGTCACGCAACACTCTTTCAGCCTTGTCAGAAACCGCTGTCATCAGTAGTCGAGGCATTTGAGAACACGCGAGCCAGAAACTATAGCACGCCACGGTGCATGGAATGCACTGTGAGGGTAAAGTTCCCAGAAGTTCCCCAGAACGTGTGACCATGGCGCCGTGGGTGGTTTACCCGGCCTACATTGTCGCGGGCCGAGAGAGCGTGGGTTTGACTCCCGTTGACGGAACTTTAATTTTCGACCCCTGATAGCGTGCTTTTTTGCACGTCATTTTCACGGCCAGAGTAAGTTACTGAAGTCGGGGAGGTCAAGGTCATGAAAGACTATTATAGTAAAGAAAAAAAGAAAAGAAAAAGCAACTTTATGATTCCCTACTAGTGATAAACAAGGGATGAGTTTTGAAAAGTAAGGTCTATTTTTGCAGAGATGGGTGTTTCTGACAGTGAAACGCTCGACTTTTTTCCGTGCTCCAATGAGTAGCCGTACATACAAAAATCTGGCACACTTCGTGGCCACGCACAGTGCTTGAGCTGATTGTTTTTATTTCATAGCGTGTAATGTTGAGGAAAGTATACCAAACATAAACGGACAATACAAGACAAGAATTGTTCGAATTTGAGTTCGTAAATTGGTGGCTGTTAAAGACACCCCTTAACTGCAGAAACCATAGCAATAGCCACTCCAATGCATATATATAGCTCCAATGCATATATGCTCCTAGAGCTAATATTGCATTTGGCTGAGTTAACCTGATGCTCATTAACATGAAGTGACGCCAACGAACCAGTTCCTGCAAGCGCTGTTAGCACCGGGTGTTACACTTCTGCAGTGCTCTGTGCAGGTGTGATGTTAAGATATAGCGCATAATTCACCAGGCACCTGCTCTGACTTTACTGCGTGTTCACACACTGAAGAACATCCAATATTTACCTCCTAATTTTCAACAGCTACATAAACGTTTTTGGAAATAACTGGAAAAGGTAAATATAATCGACCAGCCTGTGCAAGACTCGCGTAACAGCGAAGACAGATTAGTTGGTTGTCATTTTATTGGGGCTGCGATAGAAATGCCTAACCTCAGTTAGAAAATTGCGTTTTTTATCGCACAATACTTTATACTAGATTCACTGTCGTGAATATGCAAACGCTTCTTGACACGATAACAAAAAAAGAACAGAACGAAAACGACCCGCACGAAGGCTAGTCCGCAATGCTCGAATGAATCTTTGTCCGTAAACAGCCCGTAATTATCTCCTTCTGATTACCATATGCGTACCAACAGCATGTTGCAAGCGCCTCTACACGCTTCATAGTGAAAACCCCACGCACTCACCATAATTGTGGCTCGACACCATGTACTGACCACGGGACGGTGAGCTGCTCGCGCTGGCCCGTCTCAAGTTCAGCGACATTGGCTATTAAAGGTGTGATATGCAACAGCGTTGCGTGCACGCCCATTGCGGCAACGTCCCGCTAGCAAAACCTATAATCCTGTGGCTGCCGACGTCCCCTGACGCGCTCGGGCGGCACCCGTCTCCGAAAAGGTGCTGTGTCGTGGTAGGTTCCGCTGCCGTTATTACACTATAAATCTATAACTACGTCGCGCTTCAACCCTTCTGAGACAAAGCCGCGTGCAAGGAGTAGGGCAGAATATTTCAGTTCACCTAAAACTGAGCAATCGTGGTAAGAAAATCTAATAGAAAGGAAATAAACATTTAGAAAAATAAGTTATTTGTTTATTCACACTTTAGGAAAAAAAATAAGTACAACAGCGCGGAATAGCCAGAGCCATCAATCTCAGCGCGTCATTGCATGGTCATTTTCAGCCGAAATGACCTGCACGTGCTATTATAAAATACAAAAACTTGTACACACACGCAGAGCACTACATTGCCCCTTTCGGTACAGTTAGAGAAAAGGACAGCGAATTCATTCAATGTGACGTTACCTAGATGAGCTGCGAACGAGGAAAAGAAGTCGCTCGCAATTGGTAACCACACACTTTCTTCCTCATCTGCTCGTGTCTTTGTAGTAATCACCGCATTACGCAGTTAACAATTCAATTCGTTCCTGGGAAAGCCCATGCTTTTTCATCATTGGCTGCATCGATAAGCGGTGTTGGACGACTGATGAACGAAAACGCTTCTGTATTCCGGTGGGATTGTTGTTAAAATTATCTTTACTTCCGAAAACGGACTACAGTGAAACTAAACCTTTACAAAACCTTAGTACGCTCTAAACTGGAATACGCATGCGCCATCTGGGATCCCGGTCAAGTAACCCTAACTCTCACTCTAGAAGCCGTTCAAAACCGTGCAGCCCGTTTCATTTTGTGCAATTATTCCCGTCATGCCAGCATCACAGCCCTGAAAAAAACTTTGAATCTAACAGACTTATCGTTCCGTCGAAAATGCTCTCGCCTTTCTTTATTTCATAAAATTTATCATTACAATCTATTTTTAAAAGAGAGCCTTCTCTCTTCCCCCTCTTACATTTCACCTCGTTTCGATCATTGCTTTAAAGTAGGTGTGCCATTTTGCCGAACAAACCACCACAGTGATTCCTTCATTCCCAGAACAAGTAAAGACTGGAACTGCCTTTCCGCTGCCACCGCATTCCTCATCGACCCTGCAAACTTCAAACTCTCCATTTTGCAGCAATTGTAACATTTCGCTTTATTTTTCTTGTATAACCTCCACTCCTTTCTGTAAAGCCTTCGGGCATGGAAAGTATTCAAATAAAATAAAATAAAAATACACATTCGCAATAAAATAACGTGTTATACGGATGAAGCGCTACCAATACCTGCTGTTAGAAACTGTAAAAAAATAAAATTCTGAGCCTCTGCAATACACACACCTTGCTCAATGTGCGTATTGTTGGCTCAATGTAGTAACTTGAATTCACTGTAGCACGTCAATCTGTCTTATTCAACCCGCCCCGCCGCGGTGGTCTAGTGGCCAAGGCACTCGGCTACTGACCCGCCGGTCGCGGGTTCGAATCCCGGCTGTGGCGGCTGCATTTTTGATGGAGGCGGAAATGTTGTAGGCCTGTGTGCCCAGATTTGGGTGCACGTTAAAGAACCCCAGGTGGTCGAAGTTTCTGGAGACCCCCACTACGGCGTCTCACAATCATATGGTGGTTTTGGGACGTTAAACCCCACATGTCAATCAATGTCTCATTCAACCCCTCTGTATTTATGCCTCTGCGCATTTCATTTCATAGCACATTTCGCAGGGCATGTGATAGTGAGTGAAGCTTTCTGCTTCACTAAGCTCTTTGCAATGAAGAATCACGTAAGTACACTTTAGGTACACTTTCAGGCTCCCTAAGAACACTAAGGATTTAAGCTGTGAGCTTGCAAGTGAAGGTAAATCGTAGAATAAAAGAAATGGCAGATCTCACGTACAGTGAGAATTAATGATATGCGAAGGACGAATGAGGAAGGTTGATGTGTCACTTCAAAATCAGCTCAACGTTATGAGGCGGAGGTAAATTATGCCGCACATGACTTCCATGTCATAGATGATTATCATATTTGAACGTGTAATTTACCTTCAAGGTCTATTAACGTCTGTTGATACCTAATTTGGTATATGTAGTGCTAACGAAACAGCCGCGAGCAGGCTATGAGCGTTGCATGTAGTCAATTTGCATGTAGTAGCATTGCCTGTAGTCACATACCTTCGTCATCCATTCACGTCCTGTAATAGTATGTGTGAAGCTAACGGAACGGCTGTGAGCACATAATAAGCGTGGCATGTCATCATGTTGTTACATGACACGCATGTCATGATATTCATGTTGGGGTCTGTCACTTGTGTTGGCCATGCAGTCATGTCATATTATACTAGTTTGCAACATGTCAAGTGAACGAAAATACCGCAAGAGCAGCAAGACCATAATATGTAAATCATGACATTCATGACATACATATCATGATTTTCGTGTTATGACTAGTCGGTTATGCTTGAAATATGGTCATGTTATGGCACACCAAGTTTGGTATCGATACCATTATCGAAACGTCCAGGAGAGCTAAAAGTCGCAGGTGGCTAGATAGATAGATAGATAGATAGATAGATAGATAGATAGATAGATAGATAGATAGATAGATAGATAGATAGATAGATAGATAGATAGATAGATAGATAGATAGATAGATAGATAGATAGATAGATAGATAGATAGATCCAAGTCGCCGAAGTTCGCTAAGAAAAGCTTCGCATTTAAAAATTGGCAAATCCCACGCACAGTGGGAATCGATGATATGCGAAGCATGAAGGAGAAATGGTGATAGGTCACTTTGAGTTCAGCACAACGCTATGAGGTGGAGGTGAATTATGCCGTACATTGACTTCCGTGTCATGAGTATTCATGTTTGAATGTGTCGTTTACCTTCGTCATCTATTCATGTCACGTGATACCAAACTTAGTATATTTGGAGCTAGCGAGACGGCCGCGAGCACGCTATGAACATGGTATGTTATCATGTTCTTACATGAAACGCATGTTAGGATTATCATGTTTGCACCAGTAGTATATTTTGTCGTCCATTGATGTGACGTAATACCAAATTTAGTATATGGGGAGCTAGCAAAACGGCCGCGAGCACATCATGAGGGCCCAATATACTGTAATATAGCGTCGACGCGCGCGCACGCTGGGCACAGCGACGGTATACGTTAGCAAAACGTGAGCACTCCATAGTCTGACGCCAGGCGCGACCAGCGTCCGTTGGCGCGGCTCGACGGCAACCGGTGCGAAAGGCGACAT